GCACCCCACACTGCACCCCACACTGCACCCCACACTGCACCCCACACAGCTCCCACACAGCTCCCGCTCCCCGCCAAGCACGAGCTGGTGGAACAGGAGCTGAAAACTGGGGCTGTGTCTCTCCCTTCCCCCCGTCCGTGGCCAGTGGGGTGTTTGTTCCCTCCCGTGGTTCCTCACAGCCGGAGCCTCAGCCAAGCCTTCTCCTGCGGCTCCATGTGCCAGGAATGCCAATGAAGCTCCGCTCGCCACGTGCCCACACTGCAGCACACGTCCATCCGGGATGCAGAGCAGCCCATGGATGGGGGAATCCAGGGAATTATGCTGGAACTGTTGCCCAATTAGTTAAACAACCGTGAGCGAGGAGGGCTGGCAGGGACCTGTGGCATCCCCACCAGCTCTGGGGCCAGACCCCGAGCATCTCTGCAGAGCCAGAGTTTCCAGTGTTGCTGCACTGCTGGATTTTCAGAGGGAAGATTTTCCTATTTATTTTCCTCATCCAGGCATCCGTGTGCAGGCAGAGCTGGGCTGGAATTCCAGCCCATCGATGCCCAGCAGGGCTGTGGTTGGTTTGTAACCCCATCCTTGTACCGAATCCCACATCCCTGTGCCCTGCCCGCCCACGCTGGGGCTGGCACGACAATCCTGTCCTTGCCAATGGTGTGAGCAGCTCCTCTGGTCCCACAGGCACTGAGGGAAGGTCGGTCAGGTGAGGAGGGAGATGTTTATTTGTGAAATCACAGAAATGTACGTGCCCTGTCATTTTCTGCTTGAAATTAAGAAAATTTCAAACAATGCAAAATTCTGCTCTTGGTGCAGCGGGAAGGAGCTTTTGGAAGCATCCTGTGCTATTTCTGGCTGCGAAAAAAATACATATATACACATTTTTAAATATCCCTGTGTGTATGTAGATACGTCAGGGTTCTGTAGGGGCGGCAGGGTGGGTCCCAGCCTGGTGCTGTGCCTGGTGATGTGGTGGGGATGGGTGGTTGCTCACTGAGCCCCACGTCCCCCCAGTGTGCTGTGACACATCCCAGCTCGCTGGAGCCGCACACGCCGACCAGCAGCAGCGGCGTGGGGTTGGTTATTAACAAAGGACGGATTCAGCCGGCGCTGGCGCCGCTCCAAGCACAGGAGCTGCTGAGGAGCGTGGAGGGTGTATTAAATATTCATCGAAATCTCAGCGTTTCATTCCCATCTCTTGCTCTCCCGCCCCCTCCCCGTGAAATTATTTGGTCCTTAAGGATAGAAGCCTGCTTCAAAAATTAATTATTTTGTTAACCCCTTTATAAATCAGGGTTTTTACAACTAAGTTTTTTTAGGGTCGGCGCAAAACGGGTCGTGGTGGCACCTCATCAGGTTTGCTCATCACGTGAGCCCTGACCCCGGCACGTGACGGTGCGACCGATGCTGGCAGCAGCATGTGACCCCAAATGCTAGGCGAGCTCAAAAAAAAAGAAAAAAAGAAATTTAAATGCAAAAATACCGGCAGGTCTGTCTCCTGCCTTCACCTGCCCGACGTGGTGGAGCCGTGCCCCTCCGTGCCGCTGCCAAGCCCTGCCCTCCGCTCCCCATTCGGTGAGTGCACAGACACTTCCAGCAATTAATTGGTGCTGCTCTGGCTCATTACCGTGCGGGGCACGCGTGGGCCTCGCGCCGTGGGAGCCACTGGTGGCCCTGGGGCTGCGGCGCTGCCGGGGGGGCTCGGGCAGGGTTGGGTGTGAAGGTGGGGTGGGTTTGTTGGCGCGTGTCCCATCTTTGCCCTCCGAGCATCGCGACGCTCCACCAAGGGCTCCTCGGGGCAGGGGTCAGGGTGCTCTGCGGCCGCCGGCTCTGCTGCGTTCGTGCAGGGGTTTAACCGTGATGTGTCCCGCTTGGGGTGGGTTTGGGGGGCTGGTTCCCCTTCCTTCCTCGTCTGAAGGGCGGTCGGTGCCGGGTGCTCAGCGCCAGTGCCGGGTTGCCGGTCCCAAAGTGGGGGCTCTCAGACAATGCAGGTTTTATTTTGGCGCTTGGTCAGTGCTCCCCAGGGATGTCCCCAGTGATGTCCCCGCTGGGGTGGGGCCACCCGCTCTCCCCCTCTCACTGCTGTGTGGGAGCTGGGGCTGCATCCGTAATGCCGGGAGTGCCGGGAAGGGCCAGAGGGAGCCGGCTGTGGGTGTGGGTGCCGTCGGCCACCCATCATTAGGATGCAGGTCCACGGCCATCTCCCTGGAGACCATGGGAATGGAGGCCGGGTGAGTGGTGTCTGGGGCGGTGGCAGCTGTGCTGGGAGGGGGCAGCTGTGTGCCGGGGGGGCCGATGAATCACTGCCCTGGGCCGGCTCCGGCCTTTGTTCCCCCGTTGTCAGCACAGGAACGGGGGAGCAGGGGAAGTGTGCAGGGAGCCGGGGCAGGGGCCGATGGCCAACCCTGCATGTCACTCGAGCCTGCTGCAGGTTCAACCATCGGTAACAATTTCATATTTCTGTCCTTGAACTAATTATCCACAAGAGCTCTTTGGAGCTGACCCGGGTGGGAGCTGCTGTTTTGGGTGCAGCACTGTCACGGGGTGATCCCCTGTTTAACACTCGGGGCATTCCCGGGCCCTTTGTGCCGCTGAAGGGAGCCATATGCTGCAGAGGCATCTCCGAGGATCTTGCAGGGACAACAGAGAAAGGGATTTCTGAGTGCTGCTGAATGCGGCTGCCAATCACCCGCCGCCCGGGCCGGCTGCCCTGTGCCAGCCTGGAATGTGCGGCCCTGGCAAACACAGGCTCGTGTTTGGAGCCAGGATTTGCCATCTGGGGGAATGAGCTCCGCAGGCTTTAATTGGCATCGGTGTCTGCCCTGCCCTGTTCTCACGTTTGCTGCCGCTCCCAAGTCCAGCTCCCGTGTAATTCCATGGCAGGGAAGCAGCTCCCGTGGTGGCGCTGCTGGAGGATGATTCTTCCCCGTGCTCATCCAGACTGTCTTTGCCTGGCAGGTTCTCCCTGAACACACCGACCACTGACCCACCCCCGACTGCTCCGCTCCCCCACAGCACTTTGCTCACGCCCTGGATTTTTATTGGGTTTAATTGGCTCTGTAATAGTTTCATGGCAGGAATTTGCTCCCATCCAAACCTGCTCCTGTGAATGTTCCCCCACAGTGTGAGGGAGGGGACACGGTGGAAGCCCCTTTGCCAGCTTGGTGTCCCCCCTGCCATGTGAAGCGTGCAGCCCCTTGTAGCACATCCAGCCAGTGTCCCGTGGAGTCTCCCTGCCCCTGGAGCTGCAGGCACAGCTCCTGGCAGGAGTCAGGACACCAGGGTCGTGTCTCAGGGGTCAGGGTCGTGTCTCGGGTCAGGGCCGGTCCTGGGTGCGAACCCCCAGCTGTGCCCCAGCTGTGCTGGCCGGCGAGTGGGGCAGCCAAACCCCACTGCAGCAACACCTCAGATCACCAAGCCCAGGGCCCCCAAGCAGGGGGTTTCCTCCCCTTTCCTCCTCCTCACCTCCACTGCCTTCCTCCCAGCCCCAGGGCTGACAGTGCAATCCCTCTTGCCGGGCCCAGCCCTGTCCCTCTGTGCTCCTCTCCTGCTGCTCCACAGGGATCTCCAGGGCTGCCCCGGGTGCTTCTCTTCCAGGTTCTGTTGATGCTTCCAGCATGGTTCTTGTGCCAGTCTCTCCTGAGGAGCTGAGAGCTGCAGAACAGTGAAGATAATGATGCAAAGAGAGGGGGCAGCCACCCTCCAGCAGCCAGCTGGGTGCCAGCACCAAGGACCTTCCCCCGGGACCTTCCTCCAGGACCAGGGACAAGACCTTTCCTCAGAGCCTCCCCAGGACCTTCCTGACTGTCACTCTGCAGTTCTCCCAGGTGCTCCAGCCACACGGACCTTGAGCTACATGTCTCCCACAGCAGTCTCTGCTTCTGAATCTGCTTCAGAGCCGCGGGTGCCACCAACATTAAACCTTCCAACACGAGAGCTGAACCCTGCAGGACACCAGGACTCTGCCAACAGACCTGTCCAGGACCCTGAGTTTCCCACCCCTTGCCAAACCCAGAGCCAAGAGTGCAGGAAGCACTGGAGAGCAGCCCCTCACAGACAGCCTGGGGAATAAAGAACAAGTTCCTCAGAGGCTGGGAATGAACGGTCGGTAATTAAGGGCTCCAGCAAACGGAGAGTTTGCTGAGTGCAGCCCCGGGGAGGCCAGCAGGGATGGGTTGGGGTGAGCAGGCCCTGTCCCTGCCACGTGCATCCCACTGTGGCAGGAGTGCAGGAGCCTTTGGGGTGCCGACAGCGGGGGAAGAAATGCACGGGACAGGGAGCCTGCCCCTGGCTCCTGCCTCTGCAAAGTGTGCCATGATGGAGTTCCAGGCTCAGCACAGCCTGTTCAGCTAAAACTGAGTGTCCTCACAGGGATCTTCACTGGCTGCTTCCCGACCTGTCTGTAGCAGACATGGAGAGCAGCTTTTTCCTTCCTTCTTTGCGGCAGCTCCTCGTCCGTGGCAGAGGGGACAGCAGCCAGTCCTGGGGACTTTGACATGGGACAGAGATGGACGGGATCCCCCATTGCAGGGGCTGTGGCAAGAGGAACAGGGTGAGCTTCCAGAGTCTGCCCAGCACTCCTTGGACTGTGGTTTTATTCCTCCTCCTGCTTCCCTCACCCAAACAAGCAGGGCTGGGGCACCCGCTCCCCCCCAGGCTCCCCAGCAGCCAGCCAGGTTCAGACCCTCCCCAGCCACTCTGCTGGGTCTCCAGCCAGCACAGAAAGCAGAACTCTTCCTTTTGATTTAATAAATATCTGGAAATGTCATAAAAGACATGATAATAAAATATCAGATGCAGGAAAATGAGTAGCCAAAGGCATTAAAAAAAGGGACAAGAGTAAACGCAGTAGATTAAGACACTAATTCCCATCCCTTGTATGTTCTCCATCTTCCCTGTGTCTTGACAGGCAGAAATAAATGCCCCCACTTCCCGGGAAGCACTATCTGCCTCTCCCTGCTGGATTGTCACCACGGGGTGCCCGCAGCCGTCAGCCCATTTATCCTCCAGATTTGGTGCTTTATCACTTCCAGAGGAGTGGCTGGGCTGGCTCATCCTGCGCTCCCACTGCCAGCACTTGCACTTCAAGGGCACGTCAAGATTCTCATGGTAAAAGCTAAATTTGATTTTTTCTGCTCTGAAGTGTCCTCGCAAATTAAAGAGCCAATTTGTGCCTTTGTTTAGGCCATGCAACAGGGCAACAGGAGCAAAGACAAAACCAGAAGGAAAAACAGTCTCAGGGAGTTTGGAGGAGCCGCTGGGTCCAACTATAACTCTGTCACAGTGGGAGCTGGAGGTGGGGGTTTTCTTGCAAATGCAGCTTTGAAGCAAATCAAATGCCAGTAAATTCCCAGGCCCAATGGTGCCATGAACACAGGAGTGGGATCAGTGACAGGGTGATGGATGTGTTAATGTTTTAACAGGCCAACCACCTCATAAATAATTTGCTGAGTTCTGGAGTAACTGACCTGGTCACAGTGGCAATAAAGGACCGTCCCCTGGGCTCTGCTCCAGGGCTCCACAATCCTCCCACGGAAAGGCTTAAGTGGCTTCTAACAATGTCTATTTTATATTGTCACAGCCCAGTGCCCCGCTAATGCTGCCGGCCCTGCAAACAGCACCACTGGAGCTCCGGGCATATTCCAGTTAAAACCCCCGAAATGACAGCAGTGACTGTTGTGGGTGAGCTCTGGGTTTGCTCTGTGGAGAGTGGGACCAGCCTGTGGAACATCCTGGCACAGAGCATGGCTGGGTGAGGAGGGGCAGCGTGCCCAGCCCAGGGAGTGGTGTGGGGTGGCCTTGGGGGGGTTCACAGGAACCCAGCAGGGACGGGGCTGTGGCCACCACGGGCTCTTCTGGGCAGTAGGAGCAGATGGAGCACAGCCTGTGGTCAGGAGACAGGGCACTCCCAGTGGATTCACCTTGTGTAACAGGTGTTCTGCTTGGATACTGGGTATTCGTGCCATTTATCAGGTATTGCTCTTCTCTACTGGATATTCCTCTTCTATCCTGGATACTCTCATTGCACACCCTGTCCCCCTCTCTGGTGCTGGCACGGGGAGCAGTGTAATCAGTGCAGGGCAGGGCTGCTGCTGTATTCTTTGGGTTTCTAACTTTTGCCATTGTGGGCCCAGGCCAGTCATGGCATCTGCAGCTCCACCCACAGCCACAGTGTGATGTTCTAGGTTTCTCTGTGCTGGTGGTTCATCAGTTCCCAGATTCCCCCATGTCCCAGTGAGACGGTGTGTTCTGACCACATGGAGCTGTGGGATTTGTCCCACCAACTGCTTCCCTGTGACCGTGGGATGGGCCAGCGTGGTCATGTTTCTGTAGCTGCAAATAATGGAGTCTCCAAACACTGGAGTCATTTGTCGAACAAAATTGATGGCAAACAACTCCAGTGTGGCACCTCCAGTGTGAGGGTGGAATTAAATGGGAGACAATGAGGAAACAGCCCCATTTTGGAGGGCAGAGCAGCAGGGATGGCCCCATTCCCTGCTCCAGCAGCACAGGGACAGTCCGTGGAACACATGGAAAGATGTAGCTGAGGAAGGATGGGGACAGCAGTGCCTGCCTTGACAAAGGCACTGGTGGCCAAAAAGGGCCAAGGTGGAGACAGGTGTTGACGGTGGCTTTGTGTGTTCAGTTTGCTCCGTGTGATCTGTGCCTGCTCTAGTGCTGGTGCTGGTGGCAGGGCACTCCCCTGGCACTGGGAGTGGGGGCAGAAATCCCACCTGGGCAGTGACTGGCACTGTGCCTTGCCCCCTGCCTCTCTGCAGGCACTGCTGACCCCGACCCACCCCTGCTGGGGCTCCCTGGGCTCCCCAGTGTGGCATCCCCTCGCCAAAGCACCTTCCCCTCACAGCATCCCTTCTCCTCCCTGCTGGGTCCCCCGCACACACAGCCTCATCCCAGCCACCAGAGGCAAGTGTGGCTGCAATGAAAAGTAAATTTAATATCCTTGCCCCTATTTTCGTAAATGAGTGTAGCCATCAGCTGCAGAATAAATGACACCTAATTATGGCTGGGGGGAGTTCAGGCAGGAGGGCTTGGCTGGGAGGGGATCACAGGGAAGCTCCAGCACTGATGGAAAATGAACAAGATGCCGGCTGTAGGGAACCATAATTACAGAGGACTGACACACTGTGAGCTGTTTATGGTAATGAAGTGGTGCATCAAATCAAATTAACCTTAGTTATTTAACACAGAATGCACCGAGGACTTGGCTCGGGAGATGCTAAATCCAAATCCGGAGCCGTGCCCAAGCCAGGGAAGCGGCTCGAGCGCTGCACGGGCGTCGCTTTGATTTAGGACGCGTTCAGTGAGCGGCCGGAGCGCCGGGACGGCGAGGGCGAGCGGGCAGAGCGGGCAGAGCGGGCAGCGCACGGAGCCGCGGGGCTGCGGGGGGGGTCCCGCTGCCGCCGAGCCCCCCAACATGCGCCCCGTGCCCTGCGCTGCTCCCGCTGGAGCGGAGCCCGGGCCGGGTCCGTGTCCCGCCCCGGGAGGAGGGAGCGGGGCCGGGGGCTCGGGACGGTCCCTGCCCGGTGTGCCGGGCACCCCGCCGGGGCCGGGGATGCGGGCGCTGCTCCCGGCGCTCCTGGGAGAGGTTCCATTTCCCGTCTCTCCTCCCCACCGAGGCTGCGGCGCGCGCGGGAGGAGCGTCCCCGTCGGGATCCCTTCGCGCTGACGGGTGAGTAACCTCTCAAATTAACCCAGAGACTCCGCCGAAGATTAATGAGCTTTCGGAAGGAGGGTCCCCTCCGTGCGCCGAGCTGTTGCGGCGCCGCGCGTTCCTCTCCGCCCGAGGAAGGGATTCATTCCTGCCGCGGATTCCCTGGCGGAGGAGCCGCCACGAGCTCGGCTGGGGCCGGGGGGCCCTGAGGGCACCGGGGCGAGGGGCAGAGGGGCGAGGACACTTCATGGCAGCGGTTCTGTAAATAATGTTAAGAGGCTGCTTGCGTTGGCGGTGTTTCCTCGGATAAAGGGAGGAGGCAGGAGGGGTGCTGTCGGGCTGTGGCCGGGAATGCCGCCCGGCTCGGGGCAGGGGTGCCGCTGTTCTGGGGTCGCTCAGGTGCAGACAGGGCCAGGTGGGCTTTGCGAGGCAGGAACGGGTGGTGCTGGCAGCGAGGCACCGTGGGCAGCTCCTGCTGCTGGCACAGCCCATCGGTCTATTTTGAATTGGTTCGGATTAGGAAATGTTTGCTCGGGGGCCTCTGGGGAGCCGAGTCTCTCCTCACGGAGAGGATTCCTCTGCAGGACTTCCCACTTGTTGGAGCAGCACCAATTGCATCTCCAGCCAAAGGCTTTCCTCTGTGTGTGTGATTCACGGAGTTTGATGATTTTGGAGCACCTGCAGTCGGGTTCATCTTGAACTAAATTTTTGCCAGGAACCTGGTGGTTCCCCTGCCCGTGTGCCAGATCTTGCATGGCACATTTACAGTGCTGCCCTGTCACTCCTGTGAGCCTCTAATCCTCAGCCCTGCACCGGTGGCTCCCCTGAGGATAGATGAGAACCCCAGGTGTTATCCCAGTAATTCCTCCCCTAACAATGGCTCCGGGTTCCACTCCGTGGTGGAGGCACTGGATTTTGTGGTTATGAGTTAATTTTGCTTCTTTCCTTCAATAGGAAAATGCCATGTGAGTCCAGAGAGTTAATCACTATTGTAGGGGAATAAAGAGGGGATATTTCTTCTAATCCCCTTTAAATGGCCTCAAAATGAGGGCTTGACAAAGATGACTAATGACAGACATGATTAAACTAATTTAGTAGGTGAAGCTTCAGTGGGAAGCCCAGGTACAGCCTTAGGGCCCAGCAGGAACTCTCCCAGCTCACTCCCAGCCCTCCTTGTCCTCACGCTCGAGATAAACAAACTCATTAGCTTTGTTTTGCTTTGATCAGAGGATTCCCTTTCTCTACTGAAAATATTTTTGTCTCTTTCTGCAAACCTTTTCCTTGCTGCTGCCAAATACAATCTCCCTAATGGGATACTAAATTCAGATCCAGTTAATAGCCAGCTGCATCCTCATTTTTCACCCGATCCCTCCCCTCAAAGTGTTCCCGCTGAACACACGAGTGTCTCAGACCTGATAACAGTAATGAAATAGAAAGTCAATGGAATGTGCCTGGGGACCTCTGGGAGTGTGTCTGGGCACCTCTCCGAAGAAGATGCCTTCAGCTCTGGGGATGTGTTGTGCCAGGAATGCTACCAGGCACAGGGATGGGCACCACTCCGTGCCCAGCCCCGCTCCTCTCCCAGTCCCAGAGGTGCCTCTGTTTTGGTGTTCACCCTTGTGGGTGCACACGTGGGCACGGGGCAGGGCTCAGTGCCATCGCCGTGGGTGGGATGGTCTGGGCAGGGATGGCCCGTGTTCTGCAGGACATGGGAATGACACAAACAGGGAACACGTGTGGCAGCAGCAAGGGCTCAGGTGGCACTTGCAGTGTCTGGTGTTCAGCAGCATCAATGTCTCTGACGTGGGGAATGGGATGGATGGGGTGAGCTTTGCTCTCCCCTCTCTCCCTGTGGGCTGGTCATTCTTTGATTTAAGGATTCCCCACACCAATGACCACCCTGTCACCCATTCCCTGAATCCCTGTGGCAAGCTGCAGCCTGTCCTTGCTGCTGCTCCTGGATAATGACACCAAACCCTCATCCTCTCACACACCATGAGCAGCACTGGAAGGTGCCCCTTCCAGGCCCAAAATATAACAAAACCTGCACACAAAAAAGGGCAAAACTGGGGGTCCCATGCCTTCCCCACAGCAGTGGGAGTGATTAATGGTGTATCAGTGCGGTCCATCTTGCTTTTGTTTAATTATCATTTTTGTATTGTTTGTGTCTCCAGAGACCCGACCGGGCGGGAATAGTCTGATGGATTATATATGAAATCCAGGTCAACACGTCCAAGTGTTATTGCCTCATAATTTGCTGCACCACAGAGGCTGATAGAGATGCCTCATGTTATTAATTATGCCAATATATTTTCCTGAGCAACGTGATTAATCAGGCTGTGTGCAGCACGGCCACGGGCCTGTCCTGTGTCTGTCTGAGCTCGGGTGGAGGTGGCTGGCTCGGGGAGCAGGCAGCAAAATCTGCACTTGGTCTCAATCCCTCTCTTCCAGAGCATTCGGGGGAAAATACAATTCCCAACTCTACACTTGGTGTGGCAGGGAGCCCCGAGGCAGGGGGGGCAGAGCACAGGGCTGCCTCTGCTGGGGCAGCAGCTCCGGGGGGACAGGCACAGCCAGGGGGACCCCCCGATGCTGCCCAGCACTGCCTGGCCTCGTGTTTAGCCCTGCAGGGGTGGATGGCACTTAAATCACAGAGACTTGTCTGCTCTCACTGAACCTCTGAAAAGTGTATCCATGAAGTTTTCCTGTAGCTCATTTCATTTTCCTTTACAGGCTCCCAGTGCAGGATCTGCGCTGTGCTGGGCACGGTCCCGGCCCCTGCGGGGTCACGGGGGGCTGTACCTGGGCACAGGTCATGTCCTGGGAACTGCTGTCAGTCTGCAGGGTCCCGGCAGAACACAGTGTTTGCAGCTTGGCCACAGTGTGAAAAGATTCACAGAAAAACAGGTTTTGACAGAAGCCTCTCCAGCTCACCAGGCACGTTTGCTCGGTGTCGGGGCTTCAGCCTCCCTGGCAGCCCTGACCTCAGGGGAGCCCTGACCACTCAGGCTCCCCACAGTGCCACAGCTGGCACCAGGACCCGGGCAGTCCGTGGTCCCCAGCTCAGCATCCCCAAACCCTGGCAGAGGTGGAGCTGAGCTCCTCCAGCCTTCCCGTGGGGACACGACCCCGTGCCTCGTCCCTGCCCCTGCTCTCAGAGCTCTGCTCCTGCACTGCAGCGCAGCTGAACCTTCTCTGTCTTTTGTCTCCATAAAGGTCAGAGAAGAGCCGTCGCCCTTTAAGTGCCAAGCCGAGGTCTCCCACCCCGCAGTGCCAGAGGACTCGGAACAGTAAGGCAGCTGCTCCTCCCCCGAATGGTTGCTCCTTGGTTGCATGAACATCGGGTTGGCTCCAGCCATTTCCTCCCTCCTCATCACGAGTGTGACTGTGAAGGTTTGTGTCTTCCCCACCACCCAGGGCTGGCAGTCACACAAACCAGGGTGCTGGTGACGGGAACTGCTGCATCCTCCCAGGGATGCTCCCAGACCTTGGGCTGATATTTTCCCAGCACTGAGTTATCCCGCAGCAGAAAGGACAGGACACGGGGTGGGGATGAGTCCTGACTGCCCTGGGCCTCAGAACCCCTCTGAGAGCATCCAAGAGCCATTCAGGCAGCCCGAGGGGCTGGACTGCAGCTCCAGGGACAGGGGCCCTGTGAGCCCCCAGCCCAGGGCGTGGGGCAACTGTTGGTGTCAGGGAGCCCCAGGCTGGTGACCCCAATGCTGTGGAGTGTAACTGCCTCACTGGAAGTGGGGGAACTCGTGCACTTTGGGAAATGGAGGACAGTGCTGGCAGGGTGCAGGGTCAAACCCAACAAAATTAGGGCAGAAGCTGCTCTGGGTGGTCCCCTGGGATCCCTGCCTGCAGAGGGAAGCACATATCTGATCCTGTTAAAGTGTCTGACACTTGCAGAGTGCTCTTCTTGTCCTTTGGGGTGAAACCCAAAGCTTCCACTGAGCTCTGGAGGAGCTGGGTGTGGCAGAGCCCTCAGCCTGGCTGCCTGTGCCTGGGGCTGGCTCGGAGCTGGAGTGGCAGCACAGGGATGTTTTGTACAAAGGCAGGAGCAGCACAGACACACAGAGGGTCGGCTGTGGCTCCCTGGCTGTGCCTGACCTCGATTTAATTACACCAATGGCTGCAGTTGGCTCCCAGCCCAAGGCAGGAGATCCCTGCCAGGCCATGGTTATGGGTCCCCAGCAGTCCTGTTTTCCTGCAGCCCCAGGCAGGCTGAGTGTCAAGCTTGGGCTCCCCACAGTGCCAAGGGGGCTTGAGGACTCGGGGGGCTCAGGGGACTCGGTGTCTCTGCCTTGGCATGGGCTCCAGGAGCCCTCCCCTGACTGGGGGACCCGTGTGGAGTTGGGATGGATGTGTGTGTCCTGCCCCTGTCAGGGCACAGGGCAGTGCTCAGGTGGTCAGGTCCCCTTCCTCGGCTCTGCCTGGAAGGCACTTGGAGCTCATCATGAAGTGAAGCCTTCCTGGAATGGTCCTGCCCCAGGGATTCACCCATAAGCCAAGAGGAGCCTCCTTTATTCTCCATTTAGTTCCTGGGACTTACCCTCTACCCCGGGCCAAGCCCATTGCTGAAAATGCCTGTTAGAAGCTCCAGTCACAGTCAAAATTCCATCAGAAAATGAACTCTGACTGAAGTGATGTGGAGCTGGCTGGGATTTATGTG